TGTGTGTGTGTATGTATGTGGATGGATGTGGATGGATGTGTGCGAGATAGAGCTACCAATTATTTATTATATATAGTCGTAAAATCGAGGGAAAATCAAACGCAGATTCTTTATTCGGCTGATAAATTCGGGTCTTACACTTGTCGCAAACACGGTTCCGTTTTATGTATAAACGATCGACTGTGAAGTTTCCGAGCAATCACTCATGCTTCCATTCTGCCGGTCATATAAACCATTTCATCCCTTTCGCTCACGACACTCTTGGTCGCGCAGGTCGTGTCGGATGTCCGCACTTCATGGCGCCGGAAGTGATCCAACGACGACAGTATGGGAAACCCGGTGATGTCTGGTCAGCCGGAGTGCTGCTACATGTCTTGCTAACTGGCACACTTCCATTTGTCGGATCTCGAGACAGGCTACGGGAAGCGATCTGTCGAGGGCGGGTGCAGGTAATCGCCACGTTTTTATGATCTTACGTCGTTTTTAACATACGTCGCTAATCCGGATGTAACGAGGCGGTTGGAGAATTTTAATAATGCTTGCCCGCGCAACCATTCGCGTCCGGGTCGCGCAGTTCTCCGTGCGCAACGAATAATTCCGTTTTAATTGAATTTGCAGATGGAGACACCACTCTGGGATCCCATTAGTGAGCCGGCAAAAGATCTCATACAGAGAATGCTCACAACCGACGTGAATCATAGGATCACCATCCAGGAGGTTCTCAACCACAAGTGGCTCAGAGTAAGTGGAACGGTTCGCGCGGTTTGTGCTTCTATTTGCTACTCTTCTATGCATACAGAGCACGAAGGAGAAATCCCACGGTTTAATCCGACGTATTATAATCGTTTGCGCGGGCGTTCGGTGACGATCAGCATTCTACGTCACGCCGCACAACTCCTGATAGGGATAATCGATGTAGCGGCTTCCGTTTCATCGCCGATGATAGTACATCGGATTTTATTTTTTTTATAATTATGCCATGCATATATATATATATATGTGTGTGTGTGTATGTGTGTGTCTGTGTGTGTGTGTGTGTGTGCGCGCGCGCGTGTGTAAATATAAATATATATGTATATGTATATATAATACACACACACACACACACACACACACACACACACACACACACACACACACACACACACACACACACACACATATATATATAATACACGTGGCCTCGTTCCTTCTTATTATCTCCAATGAATGTGCGCACGCGCGCGTCGTATGGTGTGGATATACCTATGTGGTGCAACAGTTAGCCAGTGACCTAAGGTAGGAACACTCGCGGAGTCACCCCCATACTTCTTCGGTGCAACACACGTGCAACTGGGCTATCGATCGCTATAGCGGGAGCGAAGCCTCCGGGTGGTTAATGAAAATAACTATAGTAAAGTCCACCTCGCGCTCGGTATGCACTGCTTAGGGCTTTTTTTATGTGGCTGTACGTTCGTCGAACCCCCATAGACTTCGTGGAAGCAAGTACACTCCCCCTCTCTCCTTTTGCTTCCCCATGACGGTGTAATACGCCCCGATTGCAGGAAGGGAAAATAATTGGATATCACTTCGCTGCTGCTTCAGCATTTTCTTTACGATGTTTACAATGTTTGCTGTTGCTTCACACAACATCTATGAACAAATTTTTATTTATTTCGAAGCCGATTGATTGATTTGCGCTTGATTTTTTTGCGCTGATTTAATAAGTTATTTTTTTTGTTGTTTGTTTGATAATTTATTGATGACTCAAAGAAATATTTTTAAAAATTATATTTTGCACTTGCAGTTTTGGCATTCGTGATTCATTGTGTCCTTGTCAATAAAAGCATGGTCATTATTTATTTTACAATGATTGTTTTATAGCGAATGAACGGATCTTAACTTACAGGATCGTGATAAGGGTGCAGCCCGTATACATTTAGGTGACACTATAGAAGAGCTTAAGAAATTCAATGCGAGGCGAAAACTGAAAGACGCCGTAAAAGCAGCCATCTCCTCGTCGAAGTGGCATGCTCCGTATTCAGAAGCTAATGGCGACAATTTCTCTGACGTCGGCGATGACGAGATAACTACAGGTATATCGAACGCGAGCGATTTCGGAATTTCATTTCTCCGATACGGTACAAATATTACAAAATGCAATGCAGATAAACGTGTTTTCCTCGACAGATATTTAATTCACAAGGAGGAAGGGGACAAACAGATTTTATTTGGATGAATTTAATCTGTGTTCCAATTATCGAATTATCAGAAACATAAAATATTAAAAATTAAATGAGAAAGCGTTTTAACGTTTCGCTAACGTCAAATTTTGCTTCTTCAAAAATTCAAACTCTGCATGCGTTTAATTGATCATGATATTTTTATAGCAATAAAAGTAATGATAACATAATATAGGCCAATATTTCGTTCACATGTTCATAGCTTACTATTCCAACAATGAGAGATCGATGGTATCGTGTAATTTGGAAATTCCGTTATTTCCGCGAACATTACGTTAATAGACCAAGCAAATGAGCGCAAATAAGCACGAATGAATAATTTGCCTTAATGAGTGGGAACGGCGTTACGAGTATAAATTATTTATTTATACATATATATGTTTACGTTCGCTCGCTTGATCTGCACCCAGCTTAATTGAGAGCATTATTCAGTATTGTCTACCGCTATATACATAGATTACAATTACAATGAATCGTCAAATGCATCAATAACGTTTCGTAAAATCAATATTTCATACGTTCTTACGTTATAGGCGCTGTAGCTGAAGTTGTGGATTGCTTGGATGACATTGAAATTCTTGAGGAAAGTGACAGACTCTTGCGGTCGGAAGTTCTTAATGCCGTTGATGATCATCGAATTCGAGTCATCTTAGAGGTATTTTTTACAGCTATTCGTAATTATATAAAAATAATAAGAAACGACTTGACTAAGACAATCAAAGAATAAGATTAATGATTAAACGATTGCAATGAAATCTCAGTATTCAAACTTTTCGATTTAATTATAAATATAAGAATTATCGCGTATTCATTGCGAAAATATCGCTACGCATGTCCTTTAATGCCTTATATATTCAACATAAATTGACTTTAATTATACAGTAACTTCTGTTTATGCGATAATCGATTGTTTCATTTTATTTTTGTTCAATTTTTATTTTGTTGTGCGAATTTTCGTTACATTACAATTAGGTCTTAATCGGTAATAAGATAATTCTGATTCTGTGCAGGTTAGAAATAAAAAATTTATCTGTTTACCGTAAGAATTAGTTAAAAATTGAAACATGTAATCTCAGAAAGCAAAGTTTTGTTTCTAATCTAATTCAGTGCAAATTCGAAAATAGTTTATTGTATAATAGATCTACTCTTTTTTTTAAATAATATTCGTTAATAAAATGTCACCTGGTAATATCGTCTAATTATAAAAATATAACTCGCTAAATGTACTCGCATAATGAAAATTACAATTTATACGTTCAGCGAGTTTATCTCTTCTTTTTACAACTAAAAATATAAAAGATGTGATCTGAGTAAAAAGAAGACTTTAAAAAATTTAAATTTTATTACAAATTTCACCACATTATATTAATATTATTATTTATTTCATTAATTCGACATTTTTTTCAACAGAAAGAATCGTCACTTTTATTTATTCACACAATTCTTTCTTCACGTAGCTTTCATAAATGAGTGATTTGTAAGACTTTTTTTTATGTCTGATAGTATTTTTACGTTATTTATATTTTTATCAATAGCGAAATTTTCTGCAATCAATTGCAATCAGTAGCAAAGACAGAATGCTTTCGTCACACGTAGGGTAAAACAGAATGAGTTATTCCTTACCAAGGGTGGGTAACGATCGTCACCTCCTTTTTCATGAAACGCTTGTGCATATATTTGAACTGTTATCTTTCGATTCGCCTGGATCGGTAGCAATGTTGAAAGGCACTCCTTTTTTGCGATCGAGTTTCGTCGCTGCAGAGCTTGAGCTTTTCCACTGAGAGCGGAGCCACTCATCCCCATCTCCCTCAGTGGTCCCCCCCCGCCCCGATCGTGGAGGGATAATGTAACCCTCTACAGGATATCCCGCGGGAACGAGCTGTCCACTCTTGTTCCTTTCGAGGAAAAGCACGCAAGCGCTACCTCCGAGCTGGCAAGATGGCTGCCGTAGAGTCCCGATAAACAACATGCCACGCACGATTGAAGGATCGCACCATCGCGCCAACACGCGTGTCAATGTAAACTTGTTCTTTGGTGGTTCTTGAAGTGTCACGTGGCCGAATGAGCCACGTGCTAGGACCATGTCACACGTGGTCCTAGCCTGGTGAGGCTTATGTGCACTGTTTATGCAGCAGAGATGCATCTCTGTCAGTTAATGTTCATCGGCGACGCCGAGCTAGCCGGCGATCTGCTCGAAATCGCGGGTTTCCTGGTGAGTAAATTCATTCGGTCAAGCCGAATATAAAGCAGAATATTGCCAGGCAAATTCGAAATTTTATGTCCATAAGTAATACTGATTGTCGCAAATTTAAGCGCGTTCGCTGTATGATCAGAATATGTCATGGATTGTTTACAAATTCTTTTCACTCTCAGTATATATGTTATCTAATAATATTGTAATTTTCTTAGTTTTTAATAAACATTTAGTTTTGATTATGTTATATGATACTTATTATTTAAATTTATTTTTTTACTACGTTTTTATAAGAATATTTTGTGTAAATATTGCGGAATATTGGAATTAAACAATATCACAGAAAAGTTTGAATACTCGGATAGCTGTAATCTTTTTACGTTAGTTATTAAAATATTATATCTTTTAGCATTTTAATAAAAATAAAATAAAATATTGCAATCTGTACTTTTAATTTCAGAAGATGTAACGATGATTTTTTTTGTTAAATAAATACGAGATTACTTATATAAACGATATGAAAAAACAACAGAAGGATTTGAAAAACTTATATTAATGTTGATATTTCTGATTTCTAGCTTTATGACAGAATCTCAGGTCGTGTACCAGCACCGTATCGAGCACCACAAACGGATGCGGCTCAACGTGCTCGTGACGTTGAAGAGATCCTTCGGGAAGCAGAGCATTCGGCGGTGCGAAATATCGATAGAGCCGATCTTCGAGAACTTCATGAATTATTGGTCCAGCCACACATGAGGGTAAGTACGTTATATTAATGTAACATTAGAAAACTAATGCAGATGGAATAAACAACTTGCTTCCACTTTTCCATCACAAAGTGTGTGTCATTAGTTCTTTTAACTTAACTTATTAATTAACGCGGTATCTATTAATCTATTATTAAAAAAAGTAAATCTATTATTAAAAAAATATCACTTTCATATCTTTGTTTACATATATTACTCGTATTTTATATATTGTCCGTCATTAAGAAAATTGTCGAAAATTATAAATAAAGAAACTGATACATTTTAAATCAATTCTTAATATAAATTTATTTATTAATGAATATAATTTTTACTTTAAATATTTGTTGCATAATGCTGGAAATTACCACACTAAGAAAATTTTCGAAATTTGTGATAAAAGAAACTGATACATTTTAATTTAAATCAATTCTTGATATAAATTTATTTATTAACGAATATAATTCTTACTTGAAATATTTTTTGCATAATGTTGGAAATTACAGTTTGAGATTGCATTGTTGCGTCAAGCAGTTATTGCTAAATCGATCGTCGGTAGTTACGGGCTGCGTCATGTTTGTAATAACCCAAGCGTTAATCAGGCACGACTTGATTCGTATTACATTACGAATCAATAACGATTTTTCAATTGCTCATGTGAATGAATTCAATTAATAAGAAAATAGGGGAAATATTGATGATTAATTACAGCTTGAATGGTACAAAGTAATTTCTTAAAAATACCTCTAGATATTGATTTCAAAAAAAGCTACACTCTGTGTATCTTTTTATTAACAATTATATAATATTTTAATGATATATATTTCGAATATTAATTAAAATCGAAAATCCTGATATGAAAGTGTTGAAATCATAATTGGTTTTGATTTGTTTTAACATAGAAATTATTATGATACAATTTTATATTATTTTGACTTAATTAATCTTCAGAATATGCTGTTACGGTATTGTACAACGGTTACGTAATATTCTGTACATAAATCAAATGATTTGTAAATGTGATTAATTCTGATAAATATTACTGGATTACTGGAATTTATTAATTACATAGTGATTATTGCAAACAAATGAATAATTTGCATTATGATGGAAAATTCGCAATTTCTTTTATTATACGTACATGTATATGTATAATTTATCTCGTTATAAATGTAAATTTTATACATATAAGTGTTATATTTATAATATAATAGCTACATATTTAAGATTATACACATATATTTTTCATATAATTCTATTATATACATATATATATATATACATATACATATATATATATATATGTGTGTGTGTGTGTGTGTGTGTAAAAATAACTTTTAAATGACATATTATGCCATCAAATTTATGTGCGATTTCATATGCACAAGTATGTATATTTGTGTCATTTACATGCATTTATGTGACAGCAAGATATATTTGATGGTTCCTAAATATAAGAGAGATGAAAGAAATAGCCTGTGAAATCCGCGAAAAGATTGATCGTTATCGGACGATTTGTGGCGACTTTCCGCAAACTATTCCGATGTGGGCTATCCCGATAATCGTCTAACCGCACCATTGCATTGCTGTTTGTCCTTACAGAGGCGATCGTTGGTTTTGCTAGCATATTTATCGCGGTGTTTGACATTACCGTAGAATATACTGTAAATGGGGCGGGGAAATGTAGGTCGATCGTTAAAATTCTCGGTTAAAAATCCCGTAGCTGTTGCGGGCGGAATAGGACGGGTAGGGAGGAAAGAATTATAGCAGGAGTAAGATAAATGTAGAGAAAAGGAGCGAAAAGCGGAGAGATAGATCGAGAAACGCGAAATTTAAACGGACCGTGGCGCATTCTGATAGGTATACCCTCGTTACTAGGCGTCTTATTAATCCCATCTTTATCCTTGAGGCGCGATGCTCATTATTTATTTGCAACCTCCGCCTTCGTCCGCGTTTCTGTCTGGTCCTATTTTAGATCGGCGTCTCGAGAAATGGAGAACCCGGCTGTGCCCTTTTACGTGATATTTGGCATTGCGCTCCGGATACGACCAAAATCGATGTGGCGCCCTACTTCGATTAGCGACACAAGTAGAACGGGCAAAAATAAAAGAGTGTCTGGTACATTTAATTACATATGTTGAATGATTTGATAGAGCTTCTCGTTCCTTCCGCGAGAAATGATAGCTATCCACGTATAAACATCCAAAGAATTGTTTGTTAGAGGAATTTTTATTCTTAAAATTTAACTTGCTTCGTTTTATTAATTTTGAATCGAATATAACTGCGTTTGTTAACCATCACATTTTGGATTACAAGTATGGGTATATTTGTTATTTAATATAGAGATGTTTATTATAACAGTTATATTAAATTTCCATAAAAATGTACATTGATAAAATACAATTAAATAAAGAGAAGTTATTTTTTCCTGTACACGATTTTGTAATTATATTATAATTGATGCAAAATTGAAAAGACTTTAAATCTCTGTCGTGTAAACCAAGAAAAGGAAAACATATTTAATCGATTCCCACGAGAAAGTAGAACTTGTTGCTTCGTTGAGACAGGAAATAATATTGTGGCAAGAGGATTGATCCAGAGCTATACATTAAAATGTATGATAGAAAAAGTTGAGAGCTTTCGATCCATCTACTCTACTATATAACTCGATCACAAGTATTCAAGGAAAAAATTAACGTATGCTTAATGTTTCGAGGAATCGTAAAGATTGATGATATGCATTTACATTTCTCATTCACATGCGTGTGCATATATACGACATATATACAAAAAATTGTAATAAATTATCTAGATGCGTTAAGCATCTAGTAAATGCTTAACGTATTTTTTTTTTTAAGAAACCATGCAATAAATTCCTTTTATGCATGAAATGTTTCTCAAAATTTATTCAATATTGTAATTTAGGAAATTAATTTAAAGATTGAAAATCTTGATATGAAAAATTTTGATTATAATATTTTTTTAATTATATTTTTATATATTTTATATATTTTTTGAAGTAATCGAAGTTGTTCAATAATATCGCGTTTCTTAACTCAAGTTGTCATTTATTTATTTTTACTACATAAATAATATTAACTCTACTTTTAATTTTGTAATTTTTCTTCAGGCAGTTTGTACAATAGGTATGTAATTTGTATAAGAATGTATTATAATATTCCACCGTAATTTTATGTATTATACAATGTGAAAAACATTCACAGAATACTAAACTTTTGGAAAATTAGAATACGTACAAACATAAAATATATATTAAAATATATGCATACGTGAGTTGAATGTGCTACATACTTGTATAAATTATAAATAGAATTCCATCCTGAAATCTGACGCGAATTATCATCTGAAGAACGTATAGATACTGTATAATAATCAGTTGATATTAACAATTTTATTATTGATAGCGAATTTTTATTTTTATAAAAAGATGATTTAATTCTTTTATTTAATAAAAATTCTCAATCGAACAGAATTAATCATGGCTTTAAGTGAAGCTTTTAAGCGATGGGAAAATATTTGCAACATGGAAAGTAAAATACGTGATAAATCGTTTTCGAAATTTAAAAGGAATAAAAATTCAAAAACAATAAAAATTTGAAAGAATTTGGCATGAATAGATTTGTGAGATGAGAAAGTATTATTTTGAATGGCTCGCGGCCTTGACTTTATCGTTACAGCGAGTGTTATAAAGTTTATTCTTTTGAGTTAAACTTCTTGCACAGTTCGTCTCTTTCCTCCTTTTCTCTCCACATTAAAGAAAAAAAAAAAGAGAAAAGATGAACCGTTGAAGAAGTCGGGTAAAAGGAACAACATACCTATAAAATATAAACAAAGGTCGTCGCTCTAGCAAGCGCGCGCCGAATTGTTTACGTGAGGTCACCACGTTATCAGCTACATTCGTAGTTGTACGTCGATAGTGGAACGAGTAGGTAGCAGTGTGAACTGCTCCGTATTTCGTCGCGTTATTTTTCGAAATTGCCTACAGACAATTAGCAACAATTGTAATTTTGCGCGATTAGTTAATTCCTACAATTGGCGACTCGGAAGAGTGTCGAAGTGATAACTACTGTATTTTAAACTTTTTATCGATTCGCCAAGTTTTTCGGAAACGTGGAATAATATGAGGACGTATTTATGATTATATTGTATTTTATTTGTTAATGGCACAACACGAATTCGGCGTTTGCATATCGATGATTTATAACAATTTTTCAAGATTCTTTTGTTGCGCTAATTTGAGAAATTTTACGCATGTCGAACGAATTGTACTATCATAGTTCTACGCAAACTACGCGACTTACTTTCTTCGCGTTGTTCTTCCTTTACAATACAATACTATACATACCGCGAACGATTAACATCGAAAGTTTATATCGTGCAATTCTAATTAATCGTGTAAATTTAATTAATCGCATGAAGTGCTTGAGCATTTTTCGATCATTTACAGAACTTCACAGTGCCTGTGTTCTGTCCGGGGCTCAAACATAAGGCCTATTCTTTTTCGCTGAATTTTTTTGCACAGTTTATTTTTTCTCTTTTTCTCTTCAACGTAGAGAGAATAGGAAGAAAAATGAACCGTGCGAAAACTTTAGCTAAAAAGAACAGACCTATAATAAAAAGAATAAGGAATAATAAATTTCAGTTTATCTAAAATCGAATATATCGAAATACACATTTCTGATAGGTTGAAATCTATTCCTTGTTTCTTATTCTTTATTCCTTTTGTGTCTGAGCTGAAGCTTTAAATATAAAAAAAAAAGGCGCAAGCAATAGAACAGGAAATAAGAGATTTCAACTTATCAGAAATCTTGCACATTCTAGTATATACGATTTCTGGTTGAAATGTTTTATTCTCTGTTTCTATTGCATATGCTTCTTTTCATTGTGTTTAATTCTAAAGCGGGGAGCACAGACTCTTGCATGATACATAAGAAAATGAACCAAAGTCCTTTATTTCCTTATTTTTTATGAAATAATAGATTGATTTTCTTATGTGTTACGCGTTATGTAAAAATCTGTATTAACGGCAATTCGTTTATTTTGTTATTGCGCAATTTTTTATCATGTATGTATAATACATGCGCAACGATAATATAACGACACTGTTAAGGCCTGCTCTACAATTGTGAGAAATTGATTAATCATTCTTACATTTAACTGTAAATGATCAACTTTTTATGACTTTTTACGACTTACAACACTATTGTAAGACCGATTTAAAGGCACAGGCACGAAACAGTTCAGCTTCTAGCAGCTCAATTAGTCTCAGATCTAATTAGCAAAGTATCATGACCCCAGTATTAAAATTTTTGTTGTATGTGTTGGCCATTGAAACGCTTTCGCAAAATTTGAAAGACATTTCGTGGCAAATCCTCATATTAGCGGGTGACGCATTCCGCGAACGTTTTCATCTTTAATAATTTTAGATCGTATATCGTGTTTGCTTGCCACGTTAGATAATTTCAAACCACAAACGTATATTTCGTACGTTCATAACACGTATCATATATTTACCATGAAATTATCGAAAGTGCGATTAATAGAGACAACATAGCTGCGTTTAACAGAAAAAGCAACTTTGCACGATTCTTTAATATGATTAATTGGTTTATCCAAT